TATTCTATACTCCACCCAGTTCTGCTCCCTTAATCTTACTTAGTTGGTCTCTCACTTTTTGGTTTTTCTTTTTTTTTTTTAAGATTTATTTTTACTTATGCATATAAGAACTGGGGTGCAGGGATGAGAGGATTCATCTGAGACAGAGTGGGGAGCTTTTAAAACAGACTGATCTACTGAAATACACTGCTGAGGGGAGCAGCAGAAGAGACAGGAGAGGTCTGCTGCACCACTTGGATTTTAGCTCCCTGGCCAGGGATCAAATTCATGCCACAGTGGCTGGCAATAGCTTGATAGCATGAATACTTTAACCCCTGGACCACTAGGGAAGCCCGCAGTGTGGAATTTTAAAAAGCAGGTATGGATTGCTATACAATTTTATGTAGGGATGTCTTAATGTTAAGGATATATTATTTGTAGAAGCTGTGGTTACTGATGATTTAAAATTCTTTTAAGCTACTTGTTTTTATACAAGTGCCATTCATCTGTTTTATTGATATAAAAGTTTGAAACTTCAAAGGAATATAATCTGGTTTTTCTTATACTAAATCACCTTTCATCAAAAAAATTATAATTGCTTTCTAAAACCTAACTTAAAACAAACTTAATTGAAAAAAATTGAAGACAAAAGTGATTTTAATAAGTTATTTGGCAAGAATTTTGTGGAAAAGGAAAAGAATAAAATTTGTTTCCACTTGTATTTAGACACAAAAGTAGCTACAATTATATAGGTAGAGATAAAAAAGCTTAAGGAAAAGATATGATGCCAAAGTTGAAAAATATGATAAACTTTGCATACTCCATTTATGTATATACATAAATGTTACTTTCAAAGTAACATTTTGCTTGCATTTTCCTTATAATTATTAGATCTCTTTATATATGTATCTGATATAATTTATAGAAATTAGAATTAATAATTCAGAATTTGGTGAAAAATAATCTTACTATGAATAAGTTATTGTCAAATTTTATTCTGCTTTCACAACCTGTTCTTAAATATAGACAGTTCTGTTTAATAGAAAGCATTTTGTCATCAATGTAAGTAAACTTATTGCATCTTTCTTTTTATTTTTAAATATAGGCCGACAAGACCTACATGTTAAGAGAATATACATCACGAGAGAGCAAAATTGCTAATTTGATGGTATAGTATTTAAATATCAATATTTATGGGTTGAATTTTAGTGGTAGTACCCCCGTCACCCCCCACTAGCCAGCCATCTCTGTATCCCTAAGTCTATTCGTTCACCTAATCAGACTTTATAGGATAACTTCTACTTTTCTGAACTTACCTCAAATACAAGAACATCACAGTTATTCACAATTTTATAGGTTGTCACCATAGTTATCATCCAGTCTCTTTTCCATAGTTTGCCCTGGAAAAACTGAGACCCAAAGGTCTTAACACCAAGCCGCACAGCTGTTGAGTGGTAGCGCTGCGTCTGACACCAGTTGGAAATTCTTTCCACCAACCACCCTGCCACCCTGTAATTTCCTTTATTCTTCCTAGAATGTGGTGATTTTTTCCCCTGGACTTGTTTGTTTGGGCATAACTTTGCTTTGCTTTTTGCTCCCCTGGGAGTGGTACAGGCTTCTACAACTGTAGGATTCCCTAGTGTATGCTTAACAAACGGTACCTTCCTCAGACTTGATATTCCTCATTTAGTGGTTAGGTTGGGTGTAGAGTATGCACTGGTTAGAAAGTTACTAGATTCTGTTGTAGACCACATATTGGTCTCTAACTGAAGGCAAGTGTTTTCAAGGTGCTCAAGTGAAAGGGAAAGGGGATTGGATTAAAAGGTTTTAAATTCTGAAGACATTTTTGAGAATTTGAGACTAATTTAAGGGAAGTCATTCACTCATAAGAGGTATCTATTGTAAGTAAGAAGACCTAATCATGCTACATAAATTTATATATTTCCCAGCATGTTTCACCTTCCCTCTTCACGGAACCTAACGAAATTTCACAGTATTTACCGATAAAGGAAGCAGTTCGTGAGAAGTTACTATTTCCTGAAAGAATTGATTCAAATCCTGCAGACTCACAAGAAAATACACCTGTGAATAGAAAGTGATACAACATACACTCATCATGGAGTCTGACTGGAGACCACAGCTGTTTTGAGCGAGTATTTTTATTAAGAGAATTGCCTTGTCAATGTGCAGATTTTCTGGCACCTTACAGGAAAAAGAAATAAAAGATTGTTGCAGGCAGGTTCCATTCAACTGCTGTTCGTACTGTTTATCTTCAAATTTATATTCCAGATTTATATTTCCTGGAGTTAAATTAGGATTTCTAAATTGCCACAAAGTAGGACCTCACCAGTAGTGATGTGCATGTCTCCTGTGTGTGAGTCTAATCCGCCTCTATCATGAGACCCTACCTCCTACCTGTGGGGAGATTAACTGAAATCAGTGACTGGCAGAACCTTGTGACCTTCCCGAGCCCTGCTCATATCTCTGCTGCTCTGCCCTTTCACTGGAGCTCCTGAAGGTTTATTCGCACTCCTGGAGAATCATCACTTGCCTCCCAGGAATCCATCTCATACATTGATGATTTTCCCCTACAAATAAAATAAATTATTTTACCCTAAAATTTTAACTGGTTTTTGTGGTTCAAAAAATTTCAGACACAGAACCATAAAACTTAGTTTTTTGTGAGAACTTACGCTGTTATGCCCGAGGAAACACATGGGCATGGTTTGCCCTGACAGGTAGGACATCGGATGGCTTTCGTCCATCGTCAGGTGCTTTTTCTTAGGTGTAGCCCAACTTGTACTAACATTTTCACCTCCATCTTCTGTGCAAGCTGCGAGTGAATAAATTCACTTAATATTGAATTTGGAGTTGGTTCTAAAAAGTTACTTAAGTGTAATATAGATTGTTTCTAGAAAATGTTACATCATGGGCCTTCCCTGATGGTGCAGCGGGTTAAAAGCACAACACTGAGAAGCTAAAGTCACTTCCACATGAGTTTGATCCCCACCTGGGAGGTGATCCACATGGTGCAGCAGACCTCCTGACCTGCCCACTGCTCCCCTCAGCAGTTTATTTCGACAATCTGCCTGTTCTGTTCCCCACTCTGTCTGATGAATCCTCTCACTGCCTCTGTACCTCTGGCTTGTATCCTAGTTATGTATGCATAAATAAATCTTTAAAGAAACATTACATCATAACCCTCGAAGCATCCAGATTACTCTTTTACTTAAAATATTTGAAGGAGAGCTATAGAGGAGGGGAACTTTATTTTAAAATATAAAATTAAGTTTTTCTGTTTTGTTAAGATTCATGTTTTTAACATTACAGGAATCTCATAAAATATAACAGTACAGCATGTACCCCAAAGTAAATTTAAACTCCATTTGGTTATTTTTGATGATAATCCTTAAGCAGTTTATATTCTCTTTGGTCTTCATAAAGTGCAAAGTGGCTAAAGAACACTAAGTAAGAAATCACTTGAATTGGATTTTTTAAAAATAATTGTTTACAGGGCAAGGGGAAAAGTCACCTACCCCCTTGTACCTTTTGTCTGCTGTATGTAGTTCTGCTCAATGGATAAATCATTAAGAATATTTAATTGAAAGTATTAACAGCTTCCTTAATATTAGCCTAAAGATACATTGTAGCAAAGCTACATCATTACTCCACATTCCTCATTGCTCAAACTCTGTAATATTGGTAATTAGCTAATTTTATTAGCTAAATATGTTCACAAATAGTTTTGCTATTTTCCTTCTGCTGTGTCACATACAGGAAATCAGGATTTTGTTGACTTTGAGAAGACATGGCATGTTTAATGTATATTAAATATACCTGCATTTAAGGCTTTCTCTTGGTGTATATAGTATACTCAGCTTTCTGGTCCCTCCCCTCCCCCATACAGATTTGAACAAAAACCATTCATACAAACTATAAAAAAATTAAAAGCTTGTAAGTATAGTGGAAGTTTCTAGGCCACATTATACTATATGTATATATACATAACTTGATTTAGATGTCCCTTAGTTGATCTTAGATTACTTATTTTGAGAATCCACTGTTAAAAACTGTAGAGTATTAAAGAATTGCCCTATTTTTTTTCAATAGCAGGTGGAAGGTAGATAGAAGAATGTACTTCTGAAGTTTTCATTAGTTTAATCCTATTAAGACTACCGAGAAAACCTGTATTTGCCATTGCTAAATAAGACATGCCATTTTATATTTATTTGTTCCAGTGTGTCTTTTTCTAAGAGGAGAATAAACAAGGAATTACTAATCTGTGTTTTGCTATGCCATTTATTTCAGTTTTGGGATGCCTGATTAAAAATGGTTTGTTATACACTTCTCATTTGTGTTTTATGTTTTGAATTTAATTACAACGTAGCCTGATTCTCCAGACATATGAAATTTTTTTTAAAAAGAGATTTATTTGTACATACAGAACTGGGGTACAGGCCAGAGACTCAGGGGCGGTGAGTGGCTTCACCAGAGACAGTGGGGAGCAGAACAGGCAGATCTACGAAGTACACTGCTGAGGGGAGCAGCGGGCTGGTCAGGAGAGGTCTGCCACACCATGTGGTCACCTCCGGGGCAGGTGGGAATTGAACTCATGCAGGAGTGGCTTTAGCTTCTCAGTGCAGTTCTTTAACCCGCTGCTCCACCAGGGAGGGCCTATAAATGAAAATTTAACAGTTTCAGATAAAATCCCTCAGGTTAGCCTTTGGTCTCTTGTTCTACCTCTCCTCTACCCCTGTACTTCTATGGAGATTTTAATAAGCCAGTGCTTACTGAATGGCAGGCTAATGTGTTCTGTTTTGTGACAATATGAATTACCTGTCATGTGGACCATCCTGTGTGGCTTTGAATACTCTGTGCTGTATGGTACCAGGTGCAAGGGATTGTAATGAAGGTCTAGTGTCTGGAGGTAAGGTCTAATGGAGGAGACACAAAGTAAAAATAATTACGAATTTAATAAGTGAAGTGATAGTAATACCGATTTAAGGGAATAATAAACAGCTTTATTAAAGGTAAGAGCTCTGCTTCTAGAGAGGTTGTAGAAAGCCTCAAGAGAATGCCATACCTAGTTCAGCAAGGCAAAAAGGCTGAGTAATCTATGAAACTACAGCTTATCTTGAGACTATGACAGGTCTGAGATTTCAAGGCAGTCAACTGAATCCCCAAAAATGAGAAGACCAACAAGTAATGGCACACACAAATTGTTTCCTCTCAGAAAGACCATGAGAATCAGATAGCCATGGGTTAAAAAAAAATCAGTTTAAGCTGAAGTTGTCAAAGGCTCCTATGGGCTATTGGTTTGAAGTAACAATTTCAAGTAAGAGGGCTTTGTACTTAACGCCTTTCCCCCCAAAGGCTCACCCCCATGCTCACCAGGAACCTGGGGGCAGGCAAAAGACCAGGAAATTCCTGTCGGTTGCTCAAGCCTACCAGAGGAAGTTGGCTGTTGCTGAGGGATAGAAGAAACCTTTTGACTTCCTCCAGACCCTTTACTGGAAGGATGTAAAGCCTTAGGTTTCCTGAGAGAGGAATAACAAATCTTAACCACTCCACGACCCAAGCAAAAACCCATGATTTCTGAGGGAATTATCCCTCGGACAAAAAAATTTTCCTCTGGAAGAATAGCAAAAGATCTTTAGGACATGAAGAGTCATCACTATTAGAGGGAGGATAAGTGTAATAGTTGGGGGAGGGACAGAAAAACCTGGGCCTATACTCCTACAAGGATATTCAGGACAAAGCACGTGATAAGTCCTCAGTGTTTGTTGATTGAATCCCTGCTGGCTCCGCGAGGGCAGCAGGTTAAGAGTTGGAAAGCGACGCGGGACGCAGAAGCGACGTGTAGCAAACCTCGGCGAACCTGAATCCCAAGTCCTCCAGGCGGCCCCACCTCCTTTGACCAAAACCTGCGGTAAAAACAGGCGGAGCGAAACGTGGGCGGTGGGCGCGGGGGCTCTGGGCGCCTGCGCTGCCCCTCGCCAGGTGGGCAGGTACCTGGGCGGGGCGCGCCGTGATTGGCGGCGACGGCGGGGCGGTGTCGGCGGGGCGGTGCAGGGGGCGGAGCACCCGGAAGAGCCTCGGCGGTAGCCGGCGCAACAGGCTGCCGAACAGGGGCTGGCAGTGGTGGACAGGCCCGGGGATGGACAAGCTGAAGAAGGTGCTGAGCGGGCAGGACACCGAGGACCGGGGAGGCCTGGCCGAGGTGAGTGCGCCACGGCGTTGCACCCGTCCCAGGCTTCGGTCGGGGCTCGAGGGGACGGGGACTAGGTGATACCCGACTGGGCTCTGAGCTCGCGGGCGCTTGTGGATGGCAAGTGCGGAAGCCGAAAACAACTTCCAGGATTTCCTGGAAAGGAGATCAGCCTTTCCTCCCCCTTTCTTCCCTGCTGGGCGCCGCGGGGACCCCCCACACACTCCCGATCCCCATCCGCCACAGGTGCGGGAACTGGCGTTTTGTCCTGAGAGGTCGAGTTGGGGTTACATTTTTGTCCCCTTGGCCCGCCCTATACCCCCTGCTAAGAGTGGGCGGTGCCGGAGCAAAATCCCAGAAACTTCTGTGAAGAGGAGGGCGGCCATTGCCAGTGGTTCGGCTCCATCCTTGCGGACAGGGAAAGGGGCTCAAGCGGCGGGACAGACATGGGATCCCGAGAGTCCGGCGAAGGGAGTCCCCTTGGGTAGCTCTTGGGCGGGTGGTCGCGCAGGTTCCCGCTGGCTGCCCACCGCGCCGCAGGGCGGGTGGAGCTCGGGGCTGCTTGGCCTGGTTGGAGTTGGAGTTGAAGTTGTGGGGTGTGACTCTCCCACCCGACTGCAGGTCGGCACGCCTCCGTGTTGTCTCCGGTCTGCAACCAGGGAACTCCCTGGGGACAGGCACCACATCTTGTTTCTCGGTGCTCATACTGTTTGCACTTTGTGGACACCCAAGGACCTCCTGAGACTGCGTGTGTGTGTGTGTGTGTGTGTGTGTGTGTGTGTGTGTGTTATTAGCAAGGTTTTGATGGAGCTGAATCTCTTCTAGAGGCACACAGGGTGTTGACATTTTTCCTGTTTTGTATGCTTTTTGTCGTTTTTGATGTCCTTTCTAGATTCTTTTTTACTTTTTGGTGCTTCCATGGGGGCTCAGCTTTCCCATCAGTACTATGAAAGTTTTGGAAATGAAGATGTGGGGTCTTCAACTGGAGATTTAAGTTTTTTTCCCCTCTGATTTCAGTCTGTTTCTCATGGTGTTCTCAGCACACCGCTTCCATCCATTCTGTTTTATTTCAGGTTTTGTATAATTCTTCCACCCCCTCCATGAAACGACAGAGTTGTAAAACCTACTCTGTGAATCTTTACCGTGAGAATTCCACTATAGGAACCCAGTGTTACAGAAACTGGACTTAAACTGGGGTTTAAATCTTTGCTGACATGGCAGAGCAGTTAAATGTGTTGTCTTCATAACTGGCCAAGGTTCAGGAATAAATCCTTGAGTGCTTTGTGCTTGATTTCTGTTCCTTTTTTTCTATTATGAACTCTGAAACCTCAGCCTGGACCTAAGAAAACTTAGTTGACAGTCATACTTACTACCTAAAGCTGATGTCCCATATTGTTAACAAACTTTTATAAACAGAGAGGGGTTCAAGAGGGAAGCAGGCTGATGCAGTTATCATATTTACAAAGTAATCACAAGCAGTGGGCAAACCCTCAAGAGTGAATGATATAATACAGGTTGAAAATGAAAATGCTGAGTTTCTTTTTTCACCTAAACTGGTGAATGCCTGTGTTGATCACAATGGAGAACTTTAAAGTATTGAAAGCTCAGGCATGTGTTCAGTCTATTTTAACTCAAGCATGTGCTTCTCTTGTGTTCTAGAAGACTGATGCCTGTTTCCTCTTTCTCAGTGTGGGATTCCTGTTTACATGCATTATTGTATGGTACTTATTGTCAGGGTTGTTTTTGTCTTGGATTTTCCAGCTTCCTTTAAAAGTGTTGGTACTTGACATTTCCATAGTTTTGAAGGTAAACAAAACCATGTGGTAAAATTTCTGCTGTGTGTGTGATAAGTTGAACTATTGTTGTCTGAGGTCATTAGAAGTGAGTGCTTTAAGATTTTTTTTTAACTCTTTGAATGCAAATAATAAATGATTGACTAGTTCTGTTTCTTCTACATCAGAATGCAGGTAACTATGAAAATCACTTGGCAGTGTCTAATCACCACGCGCCTCTTGATGTTTCCCAAATCGATGCTTCTTCTTCATGGTACACCTTAAATTCTTTAGTTTCAATGGCTTTTCTTCCAAAAGTGTAGGCTTTACATCTTTTTATAAAGGATTCTAAAGATAAAGGACATCTGAATGGTACTGGTTTGCAAGCACAGGAATAAAATATGCCTTTATCACCCTCGTCTGATGACCAGCCCTTTTTCCCTGAACAATTCTTAACTTTATTTCTCTTTGGCAAGAGCTCCTGCTCCCCTGTCCTGTCCCAGAGTCAAAGGGCCTTTGTGCGTAAAGTCAGCTTGGGAACAGATTGCCTACACATTCCATCCAGGTACCAGTTTAGCGACTCTAATTTCCAAAAAGTATGCTAGCAGTTCCCAGCAGCTGAGACTTTTGAGAGACATTTTACATCAACAGAGTTTGTTTTCATAAATTGGTCAGAAGTATTTCGTTTTCAGAGGGTCCAGTTAAAAGAAATGCAAAAGCAGCTTCCTCCTGCCTGTGGCCAAGCATGCATGTAAAAAGCCTGTAGCCACACGGTGTGGAAAAACCAGTGATGAGAAGTTATAACCCTCGCCTCACTGCACTCCTCCCCACATTTTGGTGACATTTGTATGGAATTCAGCTGGAGAGACTTGTTGTACCAGCATGTCACTTTCCTTTCTGACGGTAGAAACCAGGAAAGCGTCTTCATGCCAGTGATGAGCGATTTTGGTTCATTGTACAGGGCTGGGCACCTCACTATCCTGTTGCGACTATTAGGTATTCTGATGCCAAGGCCAATTCAGATTTGACACTTATCCTTAGGGTTTATGCTCTTTGTAAACAAAGGTTGAATCTTTTTTTAATTATCCCTGTCGCTAACTGCGTAGCATTCAGGCAGCCCATCCAATCCAGTCTTCCTGCCACACTTTCTTCCCTACATGCAGCTTGGTTCTTCTTACCACCTTGGCGAGGTAAGTTCTTTGGTGCTTTAGTATTTGCATGGTACTCGCTTTTCGATTTTATTTTGGCCTTGATGGGAGGTTGAGTAGGCTGGTCAGAAGTGGCCCCAGCTCATGGTCCAGGAGCCAGTGAGACCTGATGTCTGCAGCTCATGGCTAATGGGGGAAGAGAGTTTCCTCAGCCTGGAGCTGGGGCCTTCTGTCAGGTCCTCAACCTCTTCTCTGCATGTGCCAGCCCTGAGTGTGCCTTTCTCTACAGGGTTATTTTACTGCAAGTGCTGTGAGTGTGTGTGTGTGTATATACAAGTATGTACGTTTGTGTATTGCAATATCCTGTACCACTTTCAACATGCGTGGCTATGCTGGAGTAGGAGGGAATAATCTGCCCTAAAGACCTTTCTCCAGAGTGGAGAGGAAGCCATTGTGTAGCAATGTCCGCCCCACCAGGGAGCCTCTGGTCCTTTTCTTCAAACTTCTGGTTTGACAGGAAGTTTGGAGACAGACTTGACACAGGTTCCTGAGCTGGGGGTGGTTCAGGCTGGGGAGAAGCCAGTGTAGTGACCCCAACTGTGTGGGAAGCTTTCCCCAGTGTTTGGGGGGAGGGGGGTCCGTGTGCCACACAGGGGAGCCTCTTGTGAACACACCCAGACCTGGCTGCAGTCTGGCGGCCACCTGCCTGTGCCCAGTTGGAATCAGGTGTAGTCCTTTGCACTGGGGGGCATACTAGGAAGATCTCGGTTGAGTGGGAGGAGAGCAGAACCCTTGGAGGTACTCCCAGGCTTCTGGACTTTTGCAGACTTTGTGGGAAATCTTCGCCTCTTATGAACTTTGCTCTGGAGAGGGATTAATCATGGTGACAATGTCAGGATGAGCAGGGCGGTGATTAGCTGGGATCTGTCTCACTCTTGGTTGACTTGGTTAATGCCAGAACCTTGAAGGGCATCCCCATGACGCCAGCAGCTCCCATGGGAGTCCTGGTAAATGAGCGTGTAGTCACCCTTCTCCCCTACCCTGCCTGGAGGTTGCAGGATGCAGGCATGTCTGGCACCAACTGTGGACTTAGGAGACCAGGCCCCAAGGCACACCTGCCTGAGTGGGGGCCTTTTCTCTGTTTCAGACTGGCCAGGCCCGGGGCTCCTCCAGGGTCTGCTGTCTTGCCTTGTTTGTGAAAGGCATTGTGCTTGAGGCAAGAGTCCCCTCTGGATACGTAGACATCTAACCTCGCCTCTGCTGGCCTGGAGATGCACAGCTGGATAAGGAGCTAGGTTGTTGCCAGAGACGCGCGGGCTCGTGCTGCTGTGGGACTGTGCGTTCCTGTCACGTGCAGGGCACACACCTGAACTGAGTCACCTGACTCCTTTGTGATTGGAGGTTACATTTACTTATATTTCTATGTAATCAGCTTTTTAAAAATTTCAGGTTGTGGAGGCATCTTCGTTAAGCTGGGGGACCAGGATCAAAGGTTTTGCTGCGTGTTTTGTTGCAGGAATTGTCTGCTCACTGCTGGTAAGACCACCTGCCCTTCCTCTGTCTTTTCCACCAGCCTTCATTTTCTCTCTCTTCCCTTTCAACCACCTCCTTTTCTCTTTATCTCTTCACTGAAATACATGGGTCAGAGGGGAGGGTGTGAAGGTGGGGGGAACCCAGGCTGCAGTCCTGTGGCCCCCAAGCTGGGGCTCCCATATGCCAGCCTGTGCTTTTTCTTGCAGGGTACTTTTCTGCTCTGGGTGCCGAAGAAGGGACTCTACCTCTTTGCAGTGTTTTATACCTTTGGTAACATCGCATCAATTGGGAGGTAATTTTTTTTTTAATCTAACTATCTCCACTTATTAAATGGGAAAATAGGTGTGGATGGTGCTTAGGAGGCAGGGGTTGGAAGGCAGGATGCTTCAGTAACACTAAGGATTTGCAGAGAAAACATATAGTTAAAGTAGAAGTTTCAGGTGTGCCTCTTTATACAGTCTTCTAAGATCACAGTTTGCCTTTGAAATGTCCCTGGACATGTATCACTGCTGTGATTCTACATAGGAGGGCCTTGAATGAATCTCAGCTTGAATGAATCCTTCAGTCTCTAACACAGTCCTCACCAGCACTCTACCCTTCCTTAAGTCAGTGACTTTAAAAGGATTCACCGGGCCAGCGGTGCAGGCGCACAGAGCAGGTCATGGCCCTCAGACCAGCGCTCCTGCCACGCCTGTGGCTGACTGTCCCAGTTCTGTCTTCAGCCGGCCCTGGCCCTTCTCCTGGAATGGGCAGCTGCAGCGTGAACTCAGTCATCTGCCCTTCCCCTTCTCTCCTCCCTGTGTCTCAGTGACAGCCTCAGCCTCCTGGGTATCCAAGCCCCACTTGCCACCCTCACCCTGCCATTACCCACCAAGCCTTCCTGGACCCTTTCCTGGCTTTTTATCTCCGTGGCTGTGAGTCGTGATCGACTCACAGGTCCAGAGACTAAGCCTGGACCACCTGTGTGCCTGGCTCTGAGGATTCAGAGACAAGCCAGTATGGTTCCTACTGCGCTGGAATTCAGTGGGGGCTAGGCAGACAGACCTCTCACTCCTCATGTTGGAAGAGATGGAGAAAGCAGCTGAATAGATTATAACCTGAGCCAGAGAGCAGGGAGGGCTTCCTGCAGAAGGCGATACCTGAGCTGCTGTCAAGTCTGACCACTTCCCTTCTCACCTGAGTGCTACTGGATCCTCGCGCCAGTTTCTTTGCCTCTTCAGTGCCCAGGTCTGCACCATTTTCCACAGAGCTGTGGTGTGGTTCACCCGCAGTCCTGCTTAACCGGTGGCTCCCTTCCCTGTCTACTGGTCTGGTCCAAAGCCCCCCGCCTCAGAGCCCCTTCCAGATCTGGCTTTACCCAGTCCCACTGCCTGCCCAGTGTCTCCCCAAGCTGGGCTAAACTGCTTCCATTTCCCCATATATCTTTGTGCCTCTGCTCATGCTATTTCTCTGCTCAGAAAGCTGCTCCAGCCACTCTCCGCTCTGCCCCTTTATGTTCCCCAGTGTGGTGGATTCTTGCTCACTTGTTAAAACCTGACTTAGAAATCATCTCTTCTTTGAAACTCCTCCTAGTTACTGTCTTCCCTCAGAATCAGTGACTGCACCGTGCACATGGTGTTCTGTAGATCCCTACGTGCTTGTGAGAGAGCTTGCATTGTACGACATTGTTACACCTCCTTAAGCCACTGGACAGAGCGCCAGCTCCATCGTACTTGCTCCTGATTGCCCTCAAACTGACAGTTTCTGGCTGCAGACATTAACACAGTGATTGTGTTGCTCTGGCCACCTTTTAAAAACTTAATTTATTAGTACTTAGGACAGTAAAATGCTGGTCCTCAGGTGTCTAACCTTGGCTCCAAAACTCTCAAATACTAATTTTCAGAAGGGCATTTTGCTGTGGGCATTGTAGGCTGTTGTGTAATCTGGACTGAGCATCAACCTGTGGGTGTTTGGTTAGCTCAAAGAGCTGTTGAGCACACCCTAATAGGGCCGGCCCTCTGCAGCCTGGCCCAGGAAGTGCGAAAGGGAGCAGGTTGTTCTTTTCTAGGTTGTTGAATGGTCTGTCTAGGAATTTACAGCTTCACCTATACCCTGATATTTTTGTGTACAACCAACTCTTGAATAAAGTGAGGCTGAGGAGCACCCACTCCAGATCTCCAGATCACCCCCCCACCAATCACTGTGCACCCTCCAGTTGAAATTTCACATTTACTTTTTCAATGGAGTGACCGTGGAGATGATAAGTGTCCCAGTGGCATTTTAAGTGGATATGTGCAGACTTGAACACAGGTAGCAACAGGAAGTGGCTGCAGAGTTTTAATACCATAGGTATTGCAGTTGGTTTTATGCAGCTTTGATTTAATACTGAAACCTTATGTATATTTACATTTCTCTCATCTGCAAAAGGCACCAGGTTGTGCTGTTTAAGTTTGCATTTTGCATGCACTTTTTGGTGAAGCTTGCCTTTCCTTTAAAAAATACATTCCTAAAATACAAAATACAATTCCTAAAAAAAAAAAAGATTTTTGTTTTTTTATGGTAGCAAATGATAAGCTAGACTATTACCTACATATATTTTGTGCTTTCATGACACACCTTTTTATTGATTCCCGCCCCCAGCCCCAGAGTGTAGGCATCTGTGAGTTTTTTCAAATTGTCACGATCTCCAAAATATTTTCCACATGTTTATTGAAAAAAAATCCATGTGTGATTGGGCCCACATACTTCAAGCCCATATTGTTCAAGGGTCAACTGTATATGCTGTGTTTTATTTTTAAGACCAGCCAGGGCTGTAGCTCTTAGTCAGTGTGGGCTTGAGTGCACTCTTAAAGGCTTGGACTGAGCGTGCAGCTTGGAATTCAAGTTGAAACTTAATGGCATTTCCAAGAGAGATAGTCTTCTTTTCTTAGTTTTTGCTTGTTGTGAGCACTCGGTGACTAATGTCAGCTGCTGGTTGGCTTGTGTTAAACACCGACCATAAGGGGCTACCTTGGGTGATGCCAAGGATGGGGTGCTGTCAGGGGTTGGGAAACAGGACTTAAGGCTAACGCAGCCGTGCATTTGGTGTGAGGCTCAGCTCCTTGTGCTGGGCTTTCTTTCACTCACTCCGGTTCTTTTGGAGAAGGCCTGTTTGGGATGTCTTTGAACTTTGAACTCCCAAGAGATAAGAATTTGAATGCCAGCTCAAGATTCTGGCTGTGTGAGCATAGACCACAAGTTAACCCTTCTGAGCTTCTTTTTCTAAATGTCACATACCTTACCAGGGGATGAAATGAGGTCATGTTTGTGAAACCTGGCATTTAGAAAACATTCAACAAGTCATATATGATCTTAATATTTGAGTGATTTTCTGGGGATCATTGTATCTTTTTTTTTATTGAGGTAACTTGGTTTACTACACTGTATGATGTAGGGGTACAGGTTCACACTGCTTCAGATGTACATCATTGCACCATCTCTAGCACCCAAGCACTCTAATCCTTTACCAGAGTGCCTTGACCCCTGCTGGCTCCCCACCCCGACTCTGCTCTTCTGATAACCTGCATTCTGCAATGTTCTGCTTCTGAACATAAGTAACCTAAGATATTTTACTTTTTAAAATTGCTTTAAAATTTTTGGTTGATTGGTTGATTTCTGGGGTCGATTGTTCAGGAGGCAAAATAGTACCTACGAGGGCAAGGGCCTCTCTGACCTGATGGTCGTGAATGAGATTCTATTATCAGGCCTCCTGCATTTCCAGCCTGGCTCCACCAATGACTAACTGCATGACCTTGAATAAGTGGCTCATCCTTCTGGGCTTCACTTTATTCTTCTGTAAAATAAATTGATAATTGTTCCATGTTCATCTGCATAAGCTGTTGGTAGATTGAGTGGGAACAGCACACACACGGCCTGGCATGCCGTGTCCAGCACAGAGTAAGAGCTTACCAATTGTCAGCTACTGCTTGTGCCGCCCAGGGCCTCTTGGAGGTATCGGGGAGGTCACCTGGCATCCCTGGGCGGTTCTGTTCTGCTCTGAACAACTTCCCTGTGTTTGCCTCACAGTACTGTCTTCCTCATGGGACCAATGAAACAGCTGAAGCGAATGTTTGAGCCGACACGTTTGATTGCAACTATCCTGGTGCTGGTAAGGGTTGCATTTCTAAGTTGCAGGATTTTATTTCTGCTTTATGCAGTTTGGTTTTTCTTAAACTGTTTCCTCTTGTCTTGACCCCATGGCTGTCAGACAGCACGAAGCAGTCTTCATCTGATAATTGTCCCCTCTATCTCATTGGGTGCCAAGGTCTCATCTGTTCTAGAAAGCACCTCCAGAGGGTATTTATTGGTCAGATCACCAAACTGAGAAGGTAGCAGAGAGCATGAACTCCCTTGGGGGACAGGTGAGGCCACACATCGGCAGAGATGGAGGGAGCAACTCTAAGGGTTCAGTCTCTAAGTGGGTGCCCAGTCTCTTAGGGTGGGCATTCCCCCTCATTGTTATGTAATTTGGGGATCAGATGTACTTGTTTTCATCAGCGTTCAGAGTGGGCCTGGTCTCCTGTCCATCCTCACTGGGCCCAGCACTCACAATAGTGCCTTAATCTTGTAGCTTCCTTTCCTGTTTACCCAGAGTCTTCTCCCTTCTTTGGGTCATTCTCTTCCACTTGGAAGAGTCATTCCAGACTGCATTCCCTCACCTTTTCTTATAGTGATCAGTAATACAGTGTTTGGAACTCAGGCAGCACACTTACATAGTAGTTTCATTGGTGTATATCTCTTTTGCTCCAATAGGTATTAGACGTATTGGAAGGCCATGTCTACATTGGCTACTTATTTTGTGTCCTGTCAGAGCCTTGGGTACAATATTGGACACAGAAACTACATGGACAGATTTGTCAAGCAGTGCCTGTGCAGAAGCTGGCCAAGCCAGCCAAGACTGACAGCCCCAGCACTGCTGTTGGCCCCCAGAATGGAGGGCCTGCACTGGTCTCTGATAGAAAGAACTTCTGAGACAGGTCTCGGGAAAGTATTAGGGGACATAGGAACAAAAACTTGGTGACATTAATCTCTCTCATTAACCTTTGTCCACCCACGCCCTTCCTACTTCAGACAGGGTACGCCTTAACATGCCTTTAAATGTGTTAAACTCCGGTGTCCCTGGTGGCTCAAGGGGTTAAATCTCAGCACTACAAAGCTATCAGCAGCCACTGTAGCACCAGTTCCACCCCTGGCCAGGGAGCCGACCCACATGGCACAGCAGACCTCTTCTGTCTCACTCACTGCTCCCCTCAGCAGTGTACTTCAGTCAGTCTTCCTGCCCTGCTCACCACTCTGAGTCTGGTGAATCTTCCCACCCTCCATATCCCCAGCTACCACCCCAGCTCTTGTATACATAACAGAATAAATCTTTTAAATAAATAAATGCATTATATCTATTTTAGTGTGTTTGTATGAAAGTCTGGATGGTGAGTAGGTGGGCCAGAGGTGAGATTTTGTTTGCTGCCCAGAGATTTTAGGAAAACTTGAAAGCAGAAGATGATTCTTTTCTTTGTCAGCTACATGAATCCTTATTAACCAACTTAATTTCATGGAGATTTTAACTTCTCTGCCAAATATAGGGCTTGGGGGATTCACTGCTTTGATAAGAAAGGTGCATTTGTTTGCTGTGGTAATTGCAGAATTGGCTTAATAAGTGTTGTTGAGAATAATGCTTTGCAGTTTTGTTTGCTTTTTGCCTTGCTGTCATTGCATTACTTAGATAAGACTTCCTTTCTCTTTCTAGTTGTGCTTTACACTTACCCTGTGTGCGGCCTTTTGGGTAAGTCCATAGTTTCATTTTCATTTCCTTCACCTTCTTGGCTTATGCTTCTTGTCATACACTTCCATGAAACCATCTCATTTTTCTTTCAGTGGCATAACAGGGGACTTGCTCTGATCTTCTGCATTTTGCAGTCTTTGGCCCTGACGTGGTAAGTAACCTTTTAAACAGTCCCCTCCCACGTGGATCTTTGAGCAACGCCCTCAAAGCAGCTAAAATTCCACTTGGTGTAAGTGGGAGGATTAGAAAAACATAGAAGCTTTTTAATTTAGGAATTCTTAAGGATGCAAGTGATCAGAGTCCAGAGCCAAAGCCCGCTGCCTATAGATGGCATTAGTGGTCTTGAGTGGGCCCGGGAGGCTGTTTTTTGCTGCAGTATTTTTGCCAAATTCATAGTTGGTTTGGAGATGTTACAAATGTTATTAAAGCACTCACATCCAGGAAGTACAAGGACAATGAAGTATTGTAAAGATTGATAAAAAGAGGCTTGTGAGTCAAATAGGCATGGAAGAAAAAGAAAAGTGCTAAGAGAAATAATGAGCCTTCTGTTGGTGCTGGAATGAATCATTTAAGAGAAGGACTAAGAGTGAGTTGTGAGCAGGAGAGAGGAGTGATGACTGGGATAGAAAATTTTGTGGTAGCCTGTGTGGTCAGCATGGGTGTTGGAGGCCTGTTCGCAAGACCAGGGACTGGTCACTACAGTCTCAGGTTGGGGCTCAGCATAGGAAAGGGCTAGCAGAGGCGTCAGTAGGCTCCTGGCCCTTCCCACTGGTGCAGCTGCAAAGCAGGAGAATTGGTTCACTTACTAGGTGTAGAGCTTCCAGGCCACTCTGCAATGTTTTCAAAGTTTATCAAGGAATGACACCTTCAGGACAGTTTCAGTACCAGTGTGGGTAGTCTACTTTGGGAAGAAAACTGCTTGTTCTCATGCAAAGAAAACTCAAAGTCTTAAGGCTTCCAAAGATCAATTAAGGTTGCCCTTAAACAGTGGATGGGCAAGGGGTGCTGACCCCCACACAGTTCAAAGTCTAGTTTAACTTCTGATTCCCTCAAGCTGAAGTATAGTCATTCCTTGGGACCCCAAGGATACTAGTATCAGGACTCCCGTGGCCACCAGTATCTCAGAATGCTCAAGTCCATCGTGGTCCATCCTGTGCATCCATGGGCTTCGTGTCTGTGGGTTCCTCTTTGCACATTCAACCAACTGACATGTGCGTGGTTGAGCCTGTGAATGTGGAGCTGAGGCTGGAGGAAATGTTCGTATAAACAACCCACACACCCAAACTCTTATTGCTGACAAGCAGCTGTGTGCTCCTGTTTGTAGAAGTGGATTTTGAGATTGCAAGCTTAACACCCACCCCTCCCGTTAGTAATTTTGGACTTCAGAATGAATGCACATTCAAACGTCATTTGCAATTTACTGGGTTCACAAGGAAATGTGTTTCTGTACACGCTGAGTGTGACATATGGAAAAGAATCATGGCCTGACTTTAATATAATATATTTTGGCAATAGGTACTGAAAAAGCTGGGCGTAGCTTAGTGACTTATTTTGGTTTTCTTCTGGGGGAAGAAATTGGCACCTCCGCATGCCTCCCTCTGCTCGTAGGCTGGTTTTGCAGCCAGTTTTCAAAGGTTCAGCATTCGGATGCACTCAGGCAGCGGCTGTGTTCCCTGCAGCACTGACTACTCTGGCTGCTTTTGCCTTTCTTAGGACTGACCGACCTAGAACTGGCCGACACTCTGTGCCTGGTCCTCAAAACTGGTTATCAAGAATTCTTTCACTTGGGATTGTAGAAGAATCCTATGTTGCCAAGATTTTGATTGGCAGAGTAGTTGGTTATGGCTTTTTTTTCTATTTTCTTTTGAAATTAATAAGAGCAATGCAGAAAGTTTATCCCACCTGGATATGTTGTATTTTTTTTTTTTTGAGGATTTGTAGAATATTAAGTGGACAGCTAATCCGGATTTTACTTGGTAATCTTTCCGAATAGGGCTGCTGGGCTATCTGGGTATCTGGCATCTGCCCATTTTAGGTGTTTGCGCTGGCCCATTGGGTGAAAGCAGTGATTCCGTGAGTCAGAAGTCCTGGGGTTGTCCCCGCCCCCCACCCCAAGGCTTTCTGTCTTCCTTCTTTGTCTACAGATGACCTTGCTCTTTTCTCTGCAGTTACACGTGCCGCACAGCATCTATTTACGTGCGTGTGCATACTGGTGTCTTGTGCAAGAGTGACTGAGAATGTGTCACTGTGTATGTGTCACACGTGTGTGCATTATACACACATCAGTTTGGTGCATGTGTGAGTGTGTATGTGTGAGTGTGTACATGTGGGTTCTATTGCTGCTCTGAGGGAGGAGGGGCCAGAGGACCTGGAGAAATCCCTGAAGCTGCTCTTTAAAGTCTATTTCCTTGTATAATCTTTCATTCCTTTCATTTGATCTCATCTTTTGCTTGTTTTCTTCATTGCAGGTACAGCCTTTCCTACATACCATATGCAAGGTAAGCCTAATTATTTAGGACTCTGACAGTGTCATTCCTTGTTTAAAATGATTACATTAGGGCCCTGGTGGTGCAGTGGGTTAAAGCACAGCACTGTAAAGCTAGCGCAGCCACTGGAGCTCTAGTTCAATTCCTGCCCAGGGAGCTGACCCACATGGCGCAGCAGACCTCTCCTGACCCGCCCTCAGCAGTGTATTTCAGTCCATCTGCCTGTTCTGTTCCCCACTCTGGCTCTGGTGAATCCTTTCACCCCCACAACTCTGGCCTGTACCCCATTTCTGTGTGTATAAATAAATAAATCTTAAAAAAGTAATAAATTAAAAATGATTACATTAAGCCAAAGCATGTTAGGAATTACTTCCAGGTGTGGGGTCTGGGCCTCCCTCACAGTCTGTCACGTGGGAAGCAGGCCTGCTTGGCTCCTTTTGGACTGACCTTTCCAGATCTGTGTGAGGGTGACTTGAAGAGTGGTGGGGCACTGTCAGAAGTAGTGGGTTTCATGAGCTGAGCCAGTGACAGTTTCCTCTGCTAGGGAAGGAACCACAGAGGCACGCCCTGTCCCAGACCTTGGCCTCCTTGAATAGCCCTCCCATGGTGTTCATAGCATTCCTGTGGAAGCAAGGGGACCCATGACCAAATACGTTTGGGAAACAGGTTAAGTCAAATTTGGTAGATGCCATTTACCTCCCTTTCAAGCTCCTTTAAAATGTTATGCATCTTGTGATAACATCTTGTGAGCTGCCTCCAGGGCCCTTCCAGGCCCCAGGGCCCTTTATGCAGCATGTCCTCTGGGGCTGTGCAGTGGTGCATCGCGTAAGCAATACTTTTCTAGAGTTATCTTGATAATGGAGCACAGTAACTCATGAGAATGCATGCACGCCTTTCTCTTGCCTTCCCTGTGTGACGCCCAGTGTCCTTGACATGAGTGCAGCTGAGAACAGAGAAGGACAGAGCCCTTTTCTGTAGCCAGATGTGGTGAGGAGGGAGATGCTTGCGGACACTGGAACAGCGATTTGTTGAGCTGCCTCTTCCTTGCACTCACTAAGTTCCCGGGAGTCCACGCACGGGCTGGGGTGAATGGAGCATGTTAGTAAGTCTTATAGAGTTCCTTTTATGAGGGGACCCCAGAAAGATATCCCTTCCACAAGTCTCTGCTGCTCGCCTAGGAGGAAATGGCAGCTCGGCCTCGTAACTGGGGTGCGCCTTCAGCGCATCCCGTACCTTGCCATCGCTGCAGTCCTGACATTTCTTGGTGTCTGTGTGTCTGTACTTCCCTCCGAGCTGCTTTTGGGTTGTCATGATAGCAATCCTCAATGAAATACCTCCTCTTCTCAGTGTGCCACTTCCTTTTTTTTTTAAAGATTTATTTACGCATACAGAGCTGGGGTACAGACCAGAGGTGTAGGGGCAGTGAGAGGATTCACCAGAGCCAGAATGGGGAGCAGAACAGGCATATGGACAAGGTACACTGCTGAGGGGAGCAGCGGGTGAGACAGGAGAGGTCTGCTGCGCCATATGGGTCACCTCTGGAGCGGGGATCAAACTCGCGCTGAGGCCGCCGTGGCTCGGCTTAGCTTTGCAGTACAGCGCTCTAACCTGCTGCGGCACCAGGGAGGGCCCCAGTGTGCCACTTTCTATTCTGACCTGTAGGATAAATGGGAAAGTCCGTTTTGCAGATGAGAAATTTGAAATAAGATAGATAGCTTGCCCAGGGCCATACTAATTGTGCTGTAGCTGAGGTTTGAGACCAAGTAGATCTGTCTACCTCGCCCCCCCAACCCCTCTACATAAGTGCTTCATGCTCTGCAGTGTGCTAGTCTGGCCAGGAAATCTAAAGGGCCTCTATCTCTTACAGTTGATGGTTTCTTATGTATCTGTGTGCTTTTCCTTCCTAGGGATGCTGTGAAGAAGTGTTTTGCTACATGTCTTGCCTAACACAAAGCCAGTTTGGCAAAGCTTTGGAAGGCACTACAGATGGAAGCCAATGGACACTTGTGTAAATATCTCCCAACCCTGTTTTGCAGACTTGTGCCTTTTATCTTGCAGCAACGTGTTGCTTGCCATCTGAACATTTGAGGGTTGCTTTTGGAGGCCACCACGTGCCCCTAAACCCAAATGTCTGTCGCACAGTAAGAGCGGTGGGTTTTGTATCTCACAGAGTAGAATCTTCCTCCCTCATCTGTTTCCTCTTTGGAGATATTCCACTGAATTCTCATAAATAAAAACCTTACTAAGCAGCAGTAGATAAGCCTTGGGCGCCAGTGATTCCCCGGTAGCCTCAGGCAGCCTCACTGGAGATAGCAGGAGCACAACAGTAAGGGACAGCATTTCGGTGTCCACAGAGACACTTAGGTTCGCCCTGCAGCCTCAGGACCTTCACCCCTGCCCCATAGCATGGACTTGCCTCTGCTGTGCCGCCTGGAACACACCACGCACCCTCCTGCCAGCTGCCTGCAGGGCCCACGAGTGAAGTGAGGAAGGAGAGCTTTTTGGTGATGAGTGTTGTTTTTCAATCTGAGCCTCTGCACTCTTGCTGTAGACTCCACCCTGGCTGGAATGTGTTCACCACATTCATTGCACACTCTTCTTGAGTCCGTCTGTCTGTCTCCCTCTCACCATATAACTTTATGCCTGATTTCCTGGAGCTAGATTAGAGAAACCTAGCAGCAGCCGCAGCAGCAGGAAACACCGCTATTTCTTTTGGGACAGGAGCCCAAAGGAGGTGAAAACTTCGGCTGCTCTCAGCTCGTGTGTGTGTGTGTGTGTGTATCTTTGTGTTTTCATTATTTATAAATGTTTGCTTTTAAGCCAGTTAATACTTTCCGCTCTCCCCTGGAGTAGGGCCATGGGAGAGTTGGTGGGAAGACAGAGCCCTACTGTAGTGCCAGCAGGAAGTGGGCACGCCTGCCAGTGACCTTTAAACAGTCTGGCCTGTGCACTTGAGCAGCGCTGCAGACACTGGGGAGCACATGGACCAGCAGGCCAGGCACAGCTCAGCCTGCTGCCTGGGCACATACAAAGTGCTGTTATGCCCCAATCTTGGCTGATCCCCACAAAAGCCTCATGACAAAGCAGGGATTGTATCCCACTCTGTGACCCAGGGAATCAAGGACCAGGGAGGTCCTAGACCCATCTGAAGCTACAGTTAGTGACAGAACTGAGCTCTAAGTTTGGGTGTGCTGGCTTTAGACTCCTTCACAACTCCGTGTTCCTGATGTGGCTCTGGAGGGCACCTCGGTAACTGTCTCCCCTGTTTTCATCACCAAGCCTGCGCCTTTTCTGTTCCCAAGTGTCATTATGCCACCGCACTGCCTTTTCCCCACTTCCCCTCAGATGCTTCCTCTTGAATTGGAGGATGTCCATCATTCCTTTGTGTTCCTATTTAGCTTTGCCTTGTTGACCTTTCTTTGTAAGAGTCCTGTCCTGATTACTAGAATTTTTAGCAATCCAGGACCTCAGTGTCACCCTACAGATGAAGTCCTTGTGGGTTTGCGTTTTTCCTCCTTACCAGGTCTAGCTGGTCTCTGCCGTGTCTCCTGGGAACCTCTAAGCTCTGTTGCCTCCCTCTAGTCTCTGTGGCTGCTTGCTGAACTTGCCTTTCTCCTGCTCTGCTTGAGACTTCGTGCTGGCTGGGCTTTTATTTTGACCTGAAGAGAGAGAAACAGGCCTTATAGGCCCTGAGTGAGGAACCCAGCCTCATGAGACCATTGCTGGGCTGCTGAGGGCACTCTGTCTTAGACCGAGGTCCGTAGCCTGTGTTCAGCCAGGAAGGGAAATTCTGTGCTACCTTCTGGGTTTTATGTTTTTTTTGTTTTGTTTTTTCTTCTCACATCCCAGGTACTTTTGGGAAATAGGTCAGAGCTCAGAAGTGTGCTCTGGTAGAGAAGGGGCCTGAAGGGGTGCTCATAGAATGGCAGTGAATGTGGGTTTTGAGGTCAAACAGCTGGATGTGAAGTATGGCTCCATCACATAGTGGGGTCAGGGTGAGCAAGTCCCTTAACTGCTGCGTCTTCATTTTGCTCACCTGCTTAGAAGTAACAGGGATCATATTTTCTTCTGGATATGTGCAAGGTGTCAATGAGGTGGTGTGAGGTGCTGTGCTTGGGGCCCAGCTTAGGTAAATGATAGCAAAATCCCAGGAATAGCCATAACCTTGGAGGTGACGGAATGAATGCTCTCACCATTGATACACCTAGTGCAGTGTGTTCAGCACTGTATACAGTGCCATGAATGATTTCATTTAATGTTCTTCATAACTTTGCCAGTCCTCTGGCCTTCCCTTCCTCAGAAAGGACTAAGGGATTGGTGCCAGATCTCACCAGTAGAGGGCAGTGCTTCTTGCATAAAAACTCCTGCTTTGCCCTAATTCCTGGGGCCTGTGACCACTTTGCTTAGACTTCCGTCAGAACACTAACAATTTTTGGACAAGCCTGCCTTGCTGCATTTTCTAGGTCCTAGATGTTTAATTCAGACTTCTGTCCTATCGTTGTTTCCCTACTTGTTTTTGTTGGCTGCACTATGGGAGGAAGAAATCCTTTTCACATTTGCTGAAAGCTGTTACCAAGCAACCATGCTGATTCAGTGCTACCTAGAGGAGCAGAGAATTCTGGTTCTAGACCCTGTGACCAGTCAGGATCCCTATTTTCCTGCTCCCTGCCTTCATCTCATCTTGTCCATTGCTGGGTGGACAGAACATTGCCTTCTGGGGAGTGAAAAGAAGCATAGTGACAACTTTAGCACACATGAAATGCGCTCACCCAGGTTTGGGCTTCCGTCTGGAAGCCCTAGCTGGGATGCTCTGGCCTGTGCCTGTTGGCACTGTGGCCACTGACCTGGGCACAGCAGCCCTTCCTCTCACCACTCACTCACCCCATTTCCCAGCGCCTTAGAGGTGCTGCGTTAGTTCTGAATGGGCCTGTTCCCACCTCTTGATGAATGTTCTTGGTAGAGCCTGTGTTTGCCCAGCTCCTCCATGTGGCTTTGCCCAGACTGTGATCTCAAGATTACAGATGGACCATCACGTCCCTGGTAGGCGAGTCACTCTCCCATGGAGCATTTTTGTAACTGGCTCCAGCCTGAAAGAGCAGGCCCTTTACCTCTAGGGAGAGCATTCACCAGAGAGTACTAGGTGTGACTGAACAAGCCAGGCTTTATTAGACACTTGCAGGAGGGACTCTGGAAAAGGAAATTTTAGCCTGGCTCTTGAAAGGCAGTGAGGAGGAGATATTTCGTGGGTAGGTCCATGAGGTGGGGCAGAGGAGAGCAGCAACTTGGCTTGCTCTGGGTTGCGCAATGCCTGAGCCTGTGGGCTCTTGACCTGCTCCCTCTGGGCAGTTGTGAGATAATCACTGGTCACCTCTAGCTGGCTAGCTGGCAAGGCCCCTCATAGTGTGGGGCCGAACTGACAGGGCTTGGCAACCCCTCATTTACTCGACCTGTTCAAATAAGCTTCAGGACAACTCATCCTACTGACTTGAAATTCCTTTTACCTAGTTTGCCTCATTTTCACTGGGCCAGTTAGCTCAGTGCTTGGAGCTTCTGTCTATCACTGTTGTATCTGACTTGGTGGATCATGTGTCTGAGAGCAACATTCCTTACTCTAATAAGGTGCAGAAGTAAACTCATGAATGTTTCTAAATAAAATGACTTTTGGCTATTTCCATTGGAAAAGATAATTAAGAAGTGGGCCATACCCTTGAAAAAGACTTGGGGGACACTGCTTTGGATGTTTAAGCTCTTGCTAGCTCACCAGATGTGAAATGAGGATGAGACCTTGTGGGATGAATTGGGAAGTTGAAATACAGTCCCTTTTCTTCTCTTTCCTCACATAACTTGTAACTCAACTCAGCTACAGGATCACAAATACTTCAACATTCACAACTTGTCCTTAAACCACATTGCAGCAAATGAATAAAAAAAAATAAATCAGTGTTTAAGTTTTTAAAGCCATTTTGCTAATCTTTGATGTAGTTTTTTTTTTTTAAATTTCAGCGTTTTTTAGATTTTTTAAGGCATGTGATAGTTCCTTACACATAGTGTTTTTACAATAGCAAATAGATCTTCAGCTGACTTTAAGTACAGATTTGCACCTATATAATCCTTGATCAGATGTAGCAAAGGAATATTGAAAAATTTTAAAAAATCCTTGTTTAAAAAGAGGTTAAGTGATATGACTTTAAAATGCCCTCTAATTCATAATTTCATCAAATTCTGAGATCTTGGGGGTTTTTAGTTGAGCAAAGAGGGGAATGCTGTATTGTGTATCAGCTCGTTCATGCTTGGCTATTCAGTGCCATATTCTGGTTATTTCTGGTTTTGCTGTAAATGCATAGATGACACTCTCATCTCCCTGATGTCCTTCAGCTTTGCTCTTGGTGCTCAGGTGCTTGTAACTTGCCCCCCTGACCCCCCAAAATAAACATTGCAGAATTCTCCCTCCGCATCTTTTGATGGAGCCCAGGGAATTGACCTGGAACAGCAGAGCCTGTATTAATGCAAATTGACAACATAAAATTACACCCTTTCTAGCAGGGGCTGATACACTGCTTAGGCATGTGTGAAACATTTCCTCTAGACGGTATGAGCTGAAACCAGGGACGAGAGTTTACAAAACAGGAGAAATGTGACTAAAATGAAAGATCGATCTACAGTATTACAATGAACAACACTGGTAGAGATACCGTGACAACACACTGTCATTGTGTTAATAAGTAGTGTACCCCCCAAAAATGTAGGTCATGGACAACTGTTCTCTGATATAAATACATGCCTAGACTAAATGTCCTTGCGAGGCATCTTTTAGGGCCTGATTGAGACTAATCTCGGGGTACAGATTGCTCTTTGCTTAATGATCTGAGAGGGGAGGTATTAGATTTTGTTCTGGGTAAGGAACCTTGCATTTGTGTAATAAATCCTACAGTGAACCATTGTTTATATTCAGTCATATGCTGTTTCTGAACATAGTTTATTTTGCATTTTCAATTTGTTTGCTTGATTGTCACTTTGAACAAGAAAAGAAAAAAAAAGACTGCACTCTCACCTTTTGTTGTTTCTGTAAATTCTGATTGTGAAGTTAGGGTGAGAATATGTAGAAGCCTGTGGGGAATCCATCTGCCTTGAGAACATTGTGCCTGTTCTAAGATGAAGAGCTTTTAAGACTCTTTGTTAAAACATAGATCAATTTTTATAACTGTATAGATACTTGGCTGGTTTTGAATGCTGCTGATTGCATAACTGAATTTTTTATATCCAAAAATATATTCTTGTGTGTTTCTTTTCCTATCTTGAGATACTATTTCATGCAATAAATACTGTATACATTTTACTAATTCATTTCTAAGGGAAAGAATTTTGCTGTTAATAAACTGGTCTTTTTCCCCTAAAATATCATACAATAAGTTGTCATTTTTTTCTCCAATAAATAATAGAATTGTGATCTTTAATAAATCTAGTATTATCTCTTCTTCACATTTATTTTTCAGGAGTCTTTCAGCCAAATGAAGATAGTGTGACAATAAGAGAAAACCATGTCTTTAACATGCACACACATTTTCAACACCTACTTTTTGAGCTCTTTGCATATGTAATCCTCTTTTTCGAATGACCTAGGGCTTAACATGGCTTGAAGAAGAGTTCTGAAGATCTTTGAAAGATAAGTTTCAAGTGTTTATTTTAGAATATTATTGCATACCTAATTGGTTTAATACTTAGCATAAACTAAGTCATCTAGTTAGTACAAAGTTGTGCATCGCATTCCCTTACTCTTAATGTCTAGGATTTGTGGTCATGTCCTTTCTCTGGGATTCTGGTAATTTGTGTTTTTATCTTGATCAGTGTAGCTTGAGGCTTATCAATTTTATTACTTCAAAGACAATTAAAAATATTGGAATGAATTTAACGAAAGAACATGAATAGCCAACTAACATATCAATAGTATATGAAGTTAAAAATCCAGTGGAACTCAATTTTTGACCTTACAGAAGTGTTCTTTATGTGGTCAAATGACAAAAAGCAAGTTATTTGCATAGAAGTTAAGATAGTGATTATTTTGGTGCACATGTAGAGATTAGAGACTGAAAAGGGGACTCTGGGTACTGGTCATGTCCTGTTTTTGATTACATGATATTTACACAGTGCTCACCTGATAGTCATTGCACTCTGTGTATATGTGTGCTGCTGTGATATGCTGTATTTCACAATAAAAGAACAGCTTGGGTTTCATTTATTTTTCCCTATTAATGTCTTGAATTACTGTCACCTCATTCTTTATACTCAATTTGGGTATAATTTGCTAGCACTTAAAGTGAAAAGTTGAGTAAAATTCATTTTACATCTCTATTCTAATATAGATTAAGACTAAATTTCCCTCTTAAGTAGTATTTTTTGCTGCATCTCACAAATTTGATAGGATGTATTTTCATTTTAATTCTGTTCAAAAGACTTTCTATTTCCCTTTAATTCATTTATTTAATTAATTCATTAATTTCTATTTCTCCTTTAATTCATTGATTACTTAAATATATATTTATTTTTAAAAATTTGGGTATTTTTCAGATATCTATGATTGATTTACAATTTAATTCCATTGTAGGTAGAGAGCATATTCTTTATGATTTTAATCCTTTTAAACGTACTGGGGCATGATTTTATGGCTTAGGTTACAGGCTAGCTTGGTGAATGTTCCAAGTGCACTTGAAGAAAATTTATTAGTGTACAAGGGTTTCAATTTCTCTGATTTCACCTCACCAACACTAATTTTTTGTTTTGTTGTTTCTTTTTTTGTTTTGTTTTAAAGTAGCCATTCTTTTCGATTTGAGGTGATATCTTGATGTAGTTTTGATTTACATTTCCTTAGTGATCAGTGATAGTGAAAATCTTTTCATGTACTTATTGGTCATTTGTATCTCTTCATTAGGGAACATTCAAATTCCTTGCTCATTTAAGAAAAAAGATTTTATTTAGTTACCCATTTAAGAACTGGGGTGTAGGCCAGAAGTGTTGGCGGAGGGGTGGTGGTGGAAGGAGACAGACTAGGGAACTGAACAGGCAGAGCTTTTGAAATACCCTGCTAAGGGGAGCAGTAGGTGAGACAGGAGATGTCTGCTGTGCTGTGTGGGTGAACTCTCTAGCCAGGAATCTGAACTCATGCCACAGTGGCTGCTAATACCTTGATAGTGCTGAGACTTGAACCACTATGCCACCAGGGAGGCCCTCTTTGCTCATTTTTGAGATGGAATTTTTGTTGGTATTGTTGAGTTTTAGCCTTTACTCTGGATATTACTCCCTTTCGTGACAACTGGTACATTTGGAAGGCAATCTGTCTTTTTCCATCTGGCTCTTTGTACTTAGTTTTCCATATTTTATTGTGATGTACTTGATGTCAATTTCTTTTTATTATTTATTTAGTGTTTTTAGATCTCCATGAAACTTTAGCTCAGTATCTCTCAATAGTTTTGGGAAGTTTTTAGCCATAATCTCTTCAAGTGTTGTTTGTACTTGGTTAATTAGATGATCTTTATTGTTTCTCTCACCCTCTTCTGTGTCTGTTTCATCTTTCACTGTAGTACTATCTTCTGGCTTCTTCTTGTTCACATCTTCTTTAGCTCTGTCTAATATACTGTTGAACCTAGACACATTGAGTTCTTGATTGCACCATTTGTATTTTTAGTTCTAGAATTTCTATTTAATTATTTAAATAAGT